GGGAAGAGATTAGTATTTGACTTGGAGGGCATCATGCCATCCATTGAGGGCCTGAATGGAACAAAAAGGCAGAGGAAGGGTGCTCTCTCTGCCTGAGTTGAGACATCTGTTTTCACTTGCCCTCAGACATAGGCGCTCCTGGTTCTTGGGCTTTCAGACTCAGATTGGGACTTAGACCATCAGTCCCCCATTCTCAGACCTTCGAGCTCAGACTGAATCACGTCACCCTCGGTCCTGGCTCTCCAGCCTGCAGACTCCAGATCAAGGGATTTCTCAGCCTCCGTAACCACGTGAGTCGATAATAAATCTCCTCCTATATACTTATACATCTCTACATGTTATAATATCCTATTGTTTCTGTTTCTCTGGAGAAACCTGACTGATACATAAGTGATGTTTGGAAAGTCTAAATTAGAGAGTGAAATGGACACATTTATCTTGTAACTTTTTACTCTAGTAGTTTTCTGTCTTTTGGGGTTATGAAATCCTTAGACAATGTAAAGAACACGAAGAGTCTGACCCCCAGAAAAATGCATACATGCACATATACACTCCATTTGCCAACAAGAAGCCCCTGGTGGATATACAATATTTATGGAATTGAGGTCCACCACTACCCTGACCATGGGCAGTACAGCATTCAATCTGTACTACGATGTACAAGGTCCTGGGTTCAAATTACTATTTTAATTACCACTTCTTCAACACTCTTAAGTGTTCTGGGATTTTTATTTGTATTCTAAAGAATTTTAGACTGTTAAACCAAAGATGAAACAAGATTCCTGATGTTACAAATATTTACAAATATTCCTTTTGGTAACCATGAGAGAGCAGTAATAACAACCAAAACAAGTTAAAACAGAGAAACAGAATAAACTACTCATTATGCTAAATTTCATCAATAAAAGCAAAATATAAACAAGCTAGTTAAGGGTATATTTTTCTCTTAAAAGAGTTTCTTAAATATATTGGTACCCAAAACACACATACATAGACGTAGATACACACATACATACACATGCACATACATAGCCAAGCTCTAAAATTACATGAACATACACTGAACTTCTGTTAATATATATTTTGACTGTTGTTTAAGACTATGCTTTTCTTTAAAAGGTAACAAGATCTGAAAATCCAAAAACATAAAATAAGAATGTGTGGGTGAGTTTTCATTTAGAAAGAAGTTTTTAAAAAATTTTTTTAAAGGTGCAAAATGGTTTCTTTAGAAGTTTCGTCTATTCAACTGCTTGTCATCCATACTTATAAAGGGCATTTACCTCCAAGATTACTCATTCAGAAAATATAAAATGTGAGTTGAAATATATCATCAAAGAAAAATAAACCCCATTTTAAAAAGACACTTGAAAGTGATCAAGCAAAGAACTTGTATGCATATGTGCATAACCCGTGGTCACAGACAATAGGGTGATGAAAGTCTGGGTTAGGGGGCCGGGGGTGGGCTAGAAGGGGTTAATGGGGGGAAAGGAGGACATATGTAATATTTTCAGCAATGAAGACTTAAAAAAATAAATAAAAAGACACTTGAGAGCTATACAAATCATTATTTTCTCTAGTAGATGAAAAGCTAAAGACCTTTCTCAGGGGGCCAACAGCAATGGGCAGCCCAGCTCCCAGATTTCCCCTTATATGAGTGGGGATGGAAAGCCTCCAATTTATGAAGTTAAGATTAGAGCAAGTGTTAACAAAATAAAGTCAGATACACATTTTTAAAAAATCTGATACCAGACCATTAAGGGAACAAGGGATTACTAGAAATAACTCTCAAATTCTTTCCCACCAATACTTAAATTCTTTTTATAACGCATGTCTGTCAATAATTATGAGAAGGAAAAGGAAAATGAAGACATTACTGTCTGGTAGGTAGTGGTTTTTTTCGGTGAGTTTCATTTTTAAAATTTTATGCTCTCAATGTTAGACATGACATCTTATATGTTTATAATAATTGCATTTGAGATGATTTCTAGAATCTTGGAAAAGAACAATCATCTTCACTTTTAAAAGCTCTTTTTTGAAGAAAAATTGCTCTAACGTTTACCTTTTAAACGTCAACCCACATCCATCTATATCCACCTTCCCAGACCCTGTCTTCTCCCTGACTTGTGATCTATGGGAAACACCTATGACTTGCAGTCAGCATCTTTGGTTTGAGTTCTAGCTCTGTTCCTTAAGAGTTCTAGAAAAGTCTCCTTAAACAGGAGTTTCCAATGGAGTTCATTCTATCAGTGTCATCTGGGCAGCTTTTATAAACTTTTAAAGCAGTGTCTTGGAGGTTGAGTAGGGGAGTGAAGCTCATGAATCTATTTTATGAAAAGCTCTCCTAGGTGATGAGAGAGAAGAATGAATTAAGTTTGGGATCTACTCATTGGAATCTCTGAATTACTTTTCTAGCTTGTAAATGTATGGGAATGTATGGGAAAGGGCATTGTCAATGGAGAAACCAAATAAATACTAGGTATTATGAGGCAATATTTTTGTGGGGTTTAGAACAGAATCACTTCATTGTCGACCACTTCTGCAGCAACCACCACACATAGAGAATTAGAAATAAGCATATCAATACCGATGATCTTCTGAAACGTTAGCAGTCTAAAACCTCAAGGTAAACCAGAACATAACTTTAGAAACACATAAAGGGGTATTAAAACCAACAGACAAAATGTTTTTACTGCATTTTAAAATAAGAAAACATCTAAAAATAAATTTCACCCTTTCTGACTTCTTGAATTACATTAAGATTTCATTGTGGGAATCTGTTTCTCAAAGATCCAGTCTTCTAGAAAAATAGAGAGATATTGGAGCTCTCTGAAGCCAAACTAAAGAAAGAAAACGGATGTGCAGATATTGGTCTCTGTTTTTCCTATACCCAAGTTGTTTCCTGGAGCTATAATAAATAAAATGCTAAGGGAGGTTTACTAACTCAGGCCCCATTTTGAGTGTCTTACATTGCATGGAATAAAGGGTATTCTAATAGCCTGGAAAAATACTTCAGGAAATGACTTAGCCCCATAGTTTCTAATTTGTTATAATTTCCAGGATAAAATATTCACCTACAACTTTGAGGTCCCCAGAGGGTTTAATCTACTTACGCTAACACAGAGAGGCTGGTAGAAAGGAACTATTATTCTAAAATGATTGTAATTATCATGTTGGGAAGGAAGATCATAGGCTTTACCCTCAATCCATCATAGATGTTTAATTTTTTCTCTTTCATCAAAATAGAAATATTTGAAGTTTTCTTTTTTTATTTTATTCCTGAGAGGGGGTAATCACCTAATAAGTTTGTAACCTAAATTCATAACCTATGAGTCACAATTCAAGCTCATTAGTTTGATTAAAACTTTGCAGTATCTGGTTCCTGTTCCTCTGTGGCCCCCTAGACTTCCTTTCTCCAAATACCCTTCATTCCATATGTAACTCTTGCTCTTGACCTGGTGCATGCAGAAACAATGCCATGGGTACCGTCATCACTCATGCTCTTTCTTTCCCTGGAAATTCCTTTAGCAATTTATACTCATAGTTCAAAATTCAGCTCAAGCATCCTCTCCCTAGAAAGTTGTCTGGTCCTCAGCGAGATTTAGCTGATCCTCATCTGGGATTCCCTAGCCTCCTGGGGCCTTCAGGTAATGGGTCATACCTGATTTGACTTTATATCCATAACACTTAGCTCAGGGTCTGGCACTTAGCAGGTGCCAGATGTTTGTTTGTTGAAGGAATGAATGTAAATGACTGAATGATGTGATCTAAAGATATGTTTCATGAAACCTCAGAGAATCAATTATGCCATTTGCAAGTATTGTAATTACTGCATATTTTCTAATTTATTATGTAGTCAGACACGAGGGGGAGTCCTCCCTCAGCAGGACATCTGGGGGAGGGCTACTCAGTACTGAATGGTGCTCTGAAGCACTGCCCTCTGGGACATCACGGGGGGGGGGGGGGAGGGGGGTGTTCTTTTCAGCCAAACAAAGGACACTGTAGGTGTAAGTATGTCAATTTTCAATGTTCAGGTTTGAGGAGCAAGCCCAAGTATAAAAAATCAACTACAGCCCTGGTCAGTGTGGCCCAGTTGGTTGGAGCCACGTCCTGTATACTGAAAGGCGGGTTAAATTCCTGTTTAGAGCACATACCCAGGTTTCGGGTTTGATCCCCGGCGGGGGTTCTTATGGAAGGCAGCCAGTCGATATTCTCTCTCACCTCTCTCTCTCTCTCTCAGAATCAATGAACATGTCCTGCGGTGAGGACTAAAAAACATCTCCTTCCTGATCTCAGTGTAAATACTAAATATTGATTTAACACCAGAAAGTGAAGGGGAAATATTCTAATGTTATATATGAAAAGAAAAAGTAAATAAAATAGAAACACATCTATTGACATGGGCATTCAAACCCTAATAAGTGAAATATTTACAAGATCAAATGCAAAGTGTTAATAGTGGCTACCATGTGACTGTAGAATTAGAGCTGGAGGGAAGAGAGGCAGCTATTGCATTCTTTGTATATTTCTGTATTCTCTGAATTCTTGTTATAAGAAAGTATGACTGTGCTAATAGGAAAAAATTTCTAATAAATGAACCCACCTCTAAGATGACTTTTATCAAAGGCTTACTATAAATTCTCCCATTTAATCTTCAACACTGTGTGGTGAGCAGTATTTTCAACAAAGAAAAAACTAAAACGTAAAGATTGTTAAGTAACTTTACAATATCACACAGCTAATAATTGGAAGAATAAGGACTCAAACATTTATCAGTCCAAATCCAAAGCCCATTCTCTAACCACTGTACAATACTGCCTCTCCCGGATGTTTCTGGATATATAACTATTCTTAATTCCCTTAAGCAAACATGAGAGTTTCTTTGACACTTTCATTAGACTATTTTTAGGAAAACTATCTTCCAATAGCTTCCTCCCCTCCCCAAGTGTATCTTTAGAAACAAGAATAATCCTACCTTACTGTCTCATTTGGGATTTACTTACTGTTCACATTGGTCAAGACCATTTACAGCTGGCTGGTGTATCCTCACAGTCCAGTCCCAGTAACTTTGGGAAGAGATTTAAATGCATTAGTCACTCTACTTACAATAAACCAGACTTTCAGGACATTCATGGAACAAAGGACTGGCTATCTGGTTATGTTGTATCTCAAACAAGGAAATAGGTTTAAATGTGAGGAAAATTAATTCTTCAAAAATAGGCTTCCTAACTATATAAAATATCCCCATGGGAAACAGAAACTCCAGGCTGCATCTGATGTCGGAGGAAGTGAGTGTTTTATTTGATTAAGCAGCTGACGTGAAGTTTTGCCTACTCTAAGTCAGGAGGGCCGTCTGGACTATTTCACAAGACTCCAGATTCTGCATCTGTTTTTTAATAGCTCTTGAGGTCTATATAAGGACGGACTCTGGGTTATCCAAATGGAATCTTGGATAAGCTTCCATTAATATATCTTATTAATAGAAGAAAAATAAGGATGATTTTAAGAGATTATGAAATTACAACCTGCAAACCATAAAGTGTTAGAATATGAATCAGCTCTAAGTGGGAAAGATGTTTGAATTCTCTTACTTAAAAATCCAGTAATAGGTCATTTTAGTATTGTTTTTACATGTGCAAAATGAAATGTTAGGGACAGGAAAGACTTTTTTTGGTATCATCCCTCTAAATCGGTGGTTCTCAACCTGTGGGTCGCGACCCCTTTGGGGGTCAAACAACCCTTTCACAGGGGTCGCCTAAGATCATCAGAAAACACATATATAATTACATATTGTTTTTGTGATTAATCACTATGCTTTAATTATGTTCAATTTGTAACAATGAAATTGGGGGTTACCACAACATGAGGAACTGCATTAGGAAGGTTGAGAACCACTGCTCTAAATGGATGTGAAGGTGACTCAGGTTTAATTCCAAGTTTTGCTACTAGTGAGCTGGATGGCTCATGAATTTTTATCTCAAACACAGACTTGTATATCAGCTCCTTAATGCTACATGTCTAGTTATCATTTTGTTGATTTCTAGATTAATTGCACTGTGGTCAGAGAACATGCACTGTATGGTTTTAGTTGTTAAATTATTGAGGCCTGCTTTATGGCTCAGCACATGTCACCTCTTATACATGTCCCATGTGTGCTGGAAAAGAACGTGTATTTTGCAGTTTGGTGAAGGAAGTTAGTCATTTACAAATGACATTGTTTAAATCTTCAATTATCTTCCCTTATTTTTTTTCTATTGGCTCTATTAATTACTTACTTAAAAATTGAATATGATGGAAAACTTACGAACTTCTATTACTTTATGCTGCATATAATTTGAAACTATTAGGTAATTATACATTTACAACTTTTATAAATTACTGATGAATTAAACATTTATCATTATGAAGTGATCTTTAATTATGCTTTTTGCCTTAATGTCTATCTGACCAGTTTTCTCTTACTTAGAAATTGAATTATATAACTTTTTTTTATCCTTTTACCTTAACCTTTCTGTATATTTAACATATATCTCTTGTAAAGTATATGATTGGCTTTTTTTTAATCCTGCCTAATAATCATTTAATTTGAACATTTGGTCCATTTGCACTTACTTACTGGCATTTCAGTTTAAATCTGTCTTATTTATCCCTCCTATTTTATGTTTCCTTTATTTTCCTTTCTTGTCTTCTTTTGGTTATTTTTTATGCTACAATTTCCGCCCCCCCGCCCCCACTCATAGTGTCAAAGTTTTTGATTCTTTTAGTAGATACCCTCAAAATTACAAAAATGCATACTTATTGCCTTTTATAACCTAAAATCAATCAATAACTTTATCTTTTCCCAGGGATCATAAACTATACTAACTCTATTAACTTCTTCCCCTACTTACATATTATTGTTGTATTTGGTCATCTTTTTCTCCTGCACTTTTAAGATTGTCTTTGATATTTTGTTGTTTCACTGTGTGTCTAGTATGGATTTCTTTTTATTTAATCTGCTTAGGAATTTATAAACTTCCTGAATTTGTGAACTGGTATCTTTCATAATCCCAGAAAATTTTCAGTAATTATTTCCTCATGTAGCAATTCCTGAATGTGGTGGGAAGGAATGATTTTGAGCAGAACTCAATGTGGTATCAATTAATTGTATTGCCTTCAACCTGGCTGCCTATTGTTTATACCCCAAGGAATAGAGAATAAAGTTCTGGGGGAGAAAAAGCTGAGTTATTCTGAAAGGACAAGTTTTATAAAAGATTTGCAAAAACAAAAATGATATAGTAAGACAGAGTCAGAAGACATCATGTACAAGTTTAATAAACATATTTTTAACACAAATGAGAAGACCTCTTCTTGCTCTCACCTTTATTTCAGAACAGTGAGTAGATCAGGTGGGCAGATACAACCACAAAAGAGGAAATGGCATGAGAGCCAACATTATAATATCGGAGATAAACTTCGGTAATGGGAGAACAGGAAGATGTTCTGGGTGCTTTAGAACTTGCCACTGCAGGACGAGGGAACAGAAAGGTAGGAACGTGCAGAGAACTGGAATTCTGACTCAGAAATTGCTATTACTATGTTCTAACCAATCTTGGTTGTAACCTTCAAGACTGATGTGGCCTCAAAGCCAAAAACATTCAAACACTCCATGGACAATAAAATTCTGGCAAAAGCAGTTCTTTCCTATTGGCCTCCTTCAAGGGAATTCTACCAATTACAGAAGAATTGAATCAAGTCTATTACTTGATTCAACGATATATGGTCTTCAATCCATTGATGTTGCCATTCTCTCTCTGTTTAGACCCTTCCTATATCATTTAGAATTTGTCTGGCTTCTATTCCAGGGCCCATCATTTAGTCACTCACTAACATAAGCTCTAAGTTACTCTTTTTCTGCCACCCTTGACTCCTATTCTCCCACTCCTACCCTATCATGCTTGCTTGGCAAAGATGGAAGAATCAAATATCTGCCTCCTCTCTGCCAATAAGGATCCCAATAGCCGAACACAGCTAGAGAAAAATCACATTCACAGCAAAGTAAATTCATGTTAAGTTCATGATTCCACCTCAAATGCCCATCAAACCAACTTTATCTAGTTTCCTACACTCAAAACTGACTCCGTTTTCTCTTTTCTCCTCAAACTTCCTACTTCATTGCCCTGTCTCAATTTTAGCTTATAATCTTGTACACTCCACTGACAGCACAATAAATTAGGCAGAAATTCTATTTTCCCATCACTAACTATGCAAGTCTACCTGTCTATACCTTCTCCTTCTTCCCTGTTTACTACTAAGAACGTGGCTCTCCTCCTATGGAAGAGCAATCCCTCCACCTAAATGATGGATCCCAGTCAGAACCCCTTTATGAAGAACTTCCCTCCTTCCATCATCCCCTCATTCTATGTTGAAGTAACTCCTATCCTAAAAAAATTACTCTGGCTTCACATGCCCCTTTTGCCACTGCCCCATTTCTCTGCTTACCTTTGTAGCAAAATTTCTCAGTAGCCCTTCTTCCATTCTTTCCAATTCATATAGCAACCCTCTCCAATCTGGCTTCTCTCCACAACCTCTACAATGAAATTTGTTTTGAGGACACCAATGACCCTTGCTGCCAAGTCACCTTTTTGACATCTTTCTCTCTCCACCTTATCTGATACAAGTAAATATCCACTCTCGGAGAGACACTCCCATCTCTGGCCTAAAGGCACTAAAGTGATAGCATATTCTCTTGGTTTTCCTCCACCTCTCCAGCAGCTGCTTAAAATGCTTGGGTCCCCCAGGATTCCATCTCTTTTCATCCTACATTCCTTCTCTAGGTGATCTCATCCAATCCCATGGATTTAAATACCATTCACATCCAAATTGCTCTCTCTGATTCAAACCAGTCTCCCAGTACCTCATCTCTCTGACCCCTATATGTTGGCATCTCCTAGGTTCAGTAATTGAAATGCTTTCCTCTTCTGCGTTCACTCTTGTGTTCTCACTCAGTCTTGTGGCTTTAAATACTACCTACACCCTGGCAACTCCTGAGTTACACCTCCAGATCAAACCTCTCCTCTCAACTCTTGATTTGTATATCCTTTGGACTATTTGACATTGCCACCTGAATGTCTAACAAGCGTCTTAAACCTAACAGATAAAAATTAAATTCCTGATTCCCTATTCCACCTCCCAGCCTGAAATATCGTATCTCAATTGATGGTAATTCCATCCTTCCAGTTGCTCAGCCAAAATTCTTGGGTGTCACCCTTGCCTTGTCGCTTTCTCTCACACCTCGCATTTAATCCATCAGCAAATCTGTCAGCTATACTTTCCAAATATATCCAGAATTCTCCTACCTTCATCATCCGAGACCAAGCCATACTGTCAGCTCTCATTTGAATTACTGCAATAGCCTTCTAACTATCCTCCTCCTTCTGTCCTTATTCAGCTCAGCCTATTCCCTGCTCAGCAATAGAAGGATCACTTGGACTGAAAAATCAGGTCACATCACTCTCCTGGACACTTAAAATGGTCTAATGGTTTCCAATCACACTTAGAATGTGAGGTCCTTGCCATGACTAATAAAGCCTTGAGTGAAAAGACCTTTGGCTATATCTCCAACCTCATTTTCTACTATTCTTTCCTCACATCCCAGCCAATGAGTTCCTTAGTGTTCCTTAAAAACATCAGGCTTTTACAGAGGCAGAGCAGCATCAAACAGACTGTCAAACTACAGCGGGAAGGCTGGGGAGGGTTGGGTGGCGGGAGGGGAGGGGTAAGAGATCAACCAAAGGACTTGTATGCATGCATATAAGCATAACCAATGGACATAAGACACTGGGGGGTAGGGAAGGCTGGGGGAATGTCAAGGGGGGGAGGGGAAGGAGACATATGTAATACTCTTTATAATACTTTAAGCAATAAAACAAAATTTAAAAACAAAACAAAACAAAACAAAAAAACCATTAGGCTTTTCCCCACCTCAGCACCTTTGCATTTGCTAGTCCCTTTGTCTAGAACAGTGGTTCTCAACCTTCCTAATGCTGCGACCCTTTAATACAGTTCCTCATGTTGTGGTGACCCC